CTGTCCCGGCAGGGAACCCACAGCAGATTCAAGGTTTCTAGGCACTGCCCTTGGATCTCAACTGGGCTACTGATTGGGGTAGGAGGTGACAGTCCAGTTGCTAATTTTAAAATCCTCACTCCGTTCTTCCACGAGATCATGGAGCGCCATTTGTCAACCCAACCCAACCCCAGGATCACTGTTCTGTCATTTTTGGGAACACCACAATTAGCTCCCAATGCTCCCCTATTTCTAGATGTACTAGTTCAGTTAGATGGGTAGCTGGGACTCCTTCTATGAGAGATCTATCAGCCTGCTTGAATCTCATGGGCAAGGGTAGCAATTTTGCCCTAATGCGTAGTTTTAGTACGGTAGGGAGGTTGATCAAGCACCGGGTGCATCCTGAATCAACTAAAACATTCAAGTCCATCTGAGCCCTTGACTTTGGCATCAATAATTTGGCAGAGAGGGCAAAAAGTGGGGTAAAGCTGACTCACCATTGGGTCGTCTTCCCCCCTGTCATCGCTGTCATATGGATTGGGTGTGGGCAGGCGCTCAGCTGATTTTTCTTGCTTCTCCATGGGAGGAGAGGTGATTTGTATAACTTGCCCCTGGCTGACCCAATTCGACTTCTCTTGCGCTGGTCGAGGTTGTCTCTTAGGCTTTGTAGGAGCTGTGGTCGCACTTTTCGGTGGAGGGAAAGGAACTGGGCAATCTGCAGCTCAATGCCCAAGTTGCACACACCTGAAGCACTTGATCTGAGATTGAATGGGAGCTTGAATGGGTCCACGTGTCAGGGCAGGTGGGGGAGGTGCTGCAGCAGTTGACACCTCACTGGATCTTGCCTTGGTTGAGGTCCAGAAGTTGCAGGCTTATGGTATCGTGTCAGCTTGATATCCAGATTCGTAGCAAAACAGTACCAATCATGGAGTTGATCACGATTCCCCCTGCAGATGCACCTCTAGAATAGATTATTATCCAATCCCTCTTTTAAGTAGTGGATCAATGACTGTTTGGGCCACTGCCTGATCCGTCCTGCCACTCTCCAAAACTCCCTTACATACTCTCTCGTGTACCGACCTCTCTGCTTCACATCGTGGATGTCCTTTTCAGCTTGTACTGCCTGGGATTCATCCTCAAATCTGGCTCTCAGCCCATGTGTGAATATATTGAAATTCCATATCTCTGGTGCCTGCTCCTTTCGTAGGCCAGCCATGCACTCCGCAGCCTCCCCTTCCAAAGTTGCGGCTACAGTATCAATCATCTCGGCTTCATCTAAATAGGCCCAGTCATAATGATTCACATGAGACCACACCTGGTTCAGGAAAATAGACACCTTCTCGGGGTCTCCATCAAAAGTGGGCTTGAGGGGAGGTGGATCTTCTGGTCGGCGATCTCAGAGAGCCTGTAGCAAGCCAGGCAACTCTGGTTGGGGCTGCTGAAATCCCCCCTGATAGAAAACTCCTGGTGGAGGTCTTGGGCTGGTAGGGCGCAGGACTGGCATGATGCCGATAAAGATCGGGATCAGCTGGGCATTGGTGATGATCTGGGCTAGGAGAATGGCATCGTCTCTCTGGGCTAGCAGGATGCCTGCATCAATCGGGGCTGGTAGACTGCCGAAAGTATTCTGGACTAACCTGTCGGGGTCAATCTGTACTGGCATGGCGCCGATAGTGGTCAGAGCTATGCCAATGCACTGGGTTTGACGTCAGGTCAGGCTTCGGCAGTGGGGAGGCGGCCCGCTTGATCACTATAGGACTGGGACTTCCCCAGGGTGGCAGAGTCTCACGGGACCACTTGTCTTCTCGCCCTGTGAGATCATCTGGCGGATCGCCTGTTCTCCTTTGCCCATTTCCAACTCAGACGTTCCACTGAGTGTTCTGTCCCCCGTCCGACCCACACCCCCCAACCAGGCAGCCGAGGCCTGAAAAACTGCTCGGCACAAAGGCAAATGAATTCCTTGGCAGCAACCGCGTAGCTGCCTGCCAAGCCTTTACTGATAAGACACAGCAAACAAAGATAACTCCAAAATAACTTGCCAGAGAGCTTGCAACCAAATATCCATCAAAAATTGTCTGTCACGAAACTTCACATGCCACACCCCTTGCTTATATAGCCAGTGGGGTGTGGCCCAGTGACTCAGCTGAACTATCTGGCACGACGTGTCCGCTGCTGCGCACGCTTATCCTTCCGACGCTGGCGTGGATCCAGCCAAGATGTATCCTCGTCGGAGTCCGATACACCTGGCTCCTGGCTGATCCCAGAAGCACCTGGCTCCTGGCCAATCCCAGGAACACCGGGCTCCTGGCCAATCCCAGAAACACCGGGCTCCTGGCCAAACTCCTCGCTGTCGGAAGGCACCGAAGGCTGCACCAGAGGGGAAGGGCCTGGAGAGGGAGGCCTAGCCATCTCCTCTCCTTCATGTTCAGAGCCTTCCTCCTCTGATGAGAGGGACCCACCGGACGGAGCCACAACACTATCCCCCACCGCAGGGGCCTTTCCCTGGGTCTGACGGTCGGGATGCGGTCGGGACGGAAACCGGTCGTGAAAGGCCCGTACCAGGTCGGGCCTGAACGGAAGACGCGTCCACCCAGCTGAAATCGTCGGGCCCGTACCCCTTCCAGGCGATGAGGTATTGGAAGCGCCCCTTCAGCCAACGGGAGTCCCGAATACTGTCCACCTCGTACGTCGAGGCGTCGTCCTCGTCGGCTGCGACCGGAGGGGCAGGTGTTGTCGGGCGTCGGAGATGGCTCGCCGGGGCCTCAGGGACCAGGAGGGACCGATGAAACACGGGGTGGAGTCGCATGGAGCGTGGTAGAGCCAACCGGTAGGCCACTGGGTTGATGACCGCCTCGACTGGGAAGGGACCGATAAAGCGGTGGTCCAATTTCCTCACCGGCCAGTCCGAGGGGAGGTGTTTTGTGGACAGCCACACCCGATCACCGACTTCCAGTGGTGGCGTGGCCCGTTGGGAGCGGTCGGCGACCCGCTTATAGTCCTCCTTCGCCCGAATCAGCTGCCGTCGCACCAGTTGCTACACCGCCTGCAGCTCCGAGAGGAAGTCCTGGGTCTCGGGAACAGGGGAATCTGGGATCGCCAACGGGAACAACCGGGGATGGTAACCGACATTGGCGTGGAACGGGGTCATCTGGGTGGAGGTGTGTTGGGAGTTGTTGAATGCGAACTCCGCCAGGGGAAGGTACTCGGCCCAGTTGTTCTGCTGCTGGTTGATGAAGCAGCGAAGGTACTGCTCCAGGATGCCGATGACCTTCTCCGTGCCCCCGTCAGTCTCCTGATGGTGCGCCGACGAGAGACACACCTGCACCTCCAGCGCGGCCATCAGGCTTTTCCAAAACCGGGCCGTGAACTGGGCCCCGTGGTCCGACACTACCCTGTCCGGCAGGCCATGGAGGCGAAAGATGTGCTGCAGGAACAGACGGGCCGTGGTGCGGGCCGATGGCAGTCCGCGGCACGGGATGAAATGGGCCATCTTCGTGAGCATGTCCACCACCACGAGGACGGTTGTGAACGTGGCAGACAGTGGGAGATCCGTCAGGAAATCCATGGAGATGGCACCCCACGGTCTCTCTGGTGTCGGCAGCGGTTGGAGGAGTCCAGGAGGTGAGCCGGACGCGGATTTGGCCTGTCGGCACGTCACACAGGACGTCACGTAAACGTGCACGTCATGCCATACCCTAGGCCACCAAAAAGTCCGCGTCACCAGGTTCAAGGTCTTCAAGAATCCGAAGTGCCCCGCCGCGGGATTGTCATGGCACTGGCTCAGGACGAGGGCTCAGAGCGGGCTTGTAGGCACGTACAGTCGGCCCCGGTGCTTCAGCAAGTCATCCTCCAAGGTCCATGGGGACGCTGGGCCAACTTCCGCTCTCCGCTGCTGCGACCAGGCATCACGGTGCTGCGCTTCCCGCACCTGAGCCCGCAGGTCCGCCGGTTCCTGGACCGCGGCCAAGGCCTCTGCAGGTAGCACCGTCCGAGGGNCCTTGATAGCCAGCAACTCTTTTTCCCAGATGGTGTAGTTGCGCTCGGAAGGATTGAGTTTCCGGGAGTAATAAGCGCAGGGAAAAAGAGTGCCACCATCCACCGGAGCCTGTAGCAGAACTGCTCCAATCGCCACGTTGGACGCATCCGTCTCCACCACGAACGGACGGTGTGGATTGGGATGCCTGAGGACCGGCTCTGTGAGGAAGGCCCGCTTGAGGACCTCGAAGGCCTGCTGCTGCGGGGGCCCCCACTGGAACGGGACCTTCTTCCGAAGGAGTTGGGTCAGCGGCACGGTCAGAGTGGCGAAGCCCGGGATGAAGGTCCGGTAGTAGTTGGCGAACCCCAGCAGACGCTGGACGTCCTTCACACGACGTGGGGGTTCCCAACTGCGCAACGCCTCCACCTTGCGCGGGTCCATCGTGATGCCCTCGGGGGTGATGATGTGCCCAAGGAACTCTATGGAAGTCTGGAAGAAGTAACATTTCTCCAACTTCGCATAGAGTTGATTCTCCCGCAGGCGGTGCAGGACCTGGCGGACATGCTGGAGGTGGCTCTCCTGGTTCGGGGAGTAAATGAAAATGTCATCCAGATAGACCACCACGAACCGGTCCAACATGTCCCGGAACACGTCGTTCATCAGGTGCTGGAAGACCGCGGGAGCGTTGGTCAGCCCGAACGGCATGACGGTATACTCGAAGTGGCCGTATCGGGTGCCAAACGCCGTCTTCCACTCATCCCCCTCACGCACGCGCACCAGGTTGTAGGCCCTTCGGAGATCGAGCTTCGTGAAGATTGAGGCCTCCCGCAATCGCTCCATCAGCTCGGGAATGAGTGGCAGGGGGTAGCGATTCCGCACTGTGATGGTGTTCAAGCGCCGGTAGTCGCAGCACAGGCGTAGGTCCCCCGTCGTCTTCTTCACGAAAAGGACCGGGGCCGAGAGCGGGGAGGACGAAGGCCGGATAAACCCACGGGCCAGGTTCTTCTCCAGGAAATCCCGTAGGGCGGCCAACTCGGGCTCCGACATGGAGTATAGGCGGCCCACAGGCAATGGCGCATTGGGCAGCAGATCCACCGGGCAGTCGTAGGGTCGGTGCGGGGGTAAGCGGTCCGCCTCCTTTTCGCTGAACACATCGGCGAAGGACGTCAGCTCAGGAGGCAAGGAGACGGCTGGGGTGGAGACGTCCTGGCCGGCACAGGTGTGACGGTGGTGATCAACACACTGCAGGCTCGGGAACGAGATGGTGTTTCGCGACCATGCCACCTGAGGGTCGTGAGCCCGAAGCCAGGCCATCCCCAGGACCAAGGGAAAATGCAAGTCAGCCGCCACGTAAAACTGAAGCGCCTCCTCATGGGCCCCAATGGCGAGGCACAACGGCTGAGTAGCGAATTTGATGGGCCCCGCCACAAGCTCCCGCCCATCAATAGTCTCGACTCGCAACGGAGGGTCTACTGGAACCAGGGGGACCTTAAAATGGGCCACAAAGGCCTGGTCCATAAAGTTCGACGTGGCCCCCGAGTCAACCAGCGCATGTGCCTGGAGCCCCTCCGACCGGTTGGCCAACAACACCNCCATCGTGGGTTAACGATGGTTCTGTCTGGGTGACAGACAAGATGTTCTGTCCCCCGTCCGACCCACACCCCCCAACCAGGCAGCCGAGGCCTGAAAAACTGCTCGGCACAAAGGCAAATGAATTCCTTGGCAGCAACTGCGTAGCTGCCTGCCAAGCCTTTACTGATAAGACACAGCAAACAAAGATAACTCCACAATAACTTGCCAGAGAGCTTGCAACCGAATATCCATCAAAAATTGCCTGTCACGAAACTTCACATGCCACACCCCTTGCTTATGTAGCCAGTGGGGTGTGGCCCAGTGACTCAGCTGAACTATCTGGCACGACGTGTCCGCTGCTGCGCACGCTTATCCTTCCGACGCTGGCGTGGATCCAGCCAAGACATATCCTCGTCGGAGTCCGATACACCTGGCTCCTGGCTGATCCCAGAAGCACCTGGCTCCTGGCCAATCCCAGAAGCACCGGGTTCCTGGCCAAACTCCTCGCTGTCGGAAGGCACCGAAGGCTGCACCAGAGGGGAAGGGCCTGGAGAGGGAGGCCTAGCCATCTCCTCTCCTTCATGTTCAGAGCCTTCCTCCTCTGATGAGAGGGACCCACCGGACGGAGCCACAACACTGAGTGGCTGTGGATTGTGGTTAACTACTTCCACTCCCTGGATTCATCCCAGGCGGCCAGCCGTTTAGCTTTCATAGCTACAGGTGATTGGAAACCTTGCGATGAGATTAATGGGAACTCGATCTCTGCAGCTTTCAGCGTGCTCTTAAGCGGCAGGGCAGCGTCTGACCACCCCGAGAACTATTTCTTCCTCCCTCTGAGTCAGCTTCTCCAGCGGGACTTCTCCAGAGGCCTTTGGTCTCACTCCGGCTGCTAGAACCACACTCCACCAAAGCAGCAGCCTGTGTCCCATCTACTCCGAGGCTCGAGATTGACTCCCCTTTCTTTTCCATCTCTGCATCTTCCGTGAGTCTTTGTCATCCTCCCAAGGTATAGGTAGGCAACTGAGGCTCAGGAACCCATGGGATATTGAATTTTGGAGTCTTGGGTTAATGTCATGGTTCCAATAGATGAGATCGGTAGAAATAAGAACTCTGAGGCAATTGCTTTCCTCAAAGAATAATTTTAATGGCTACATAGTATCGGCATGAACAAAGGTGAACCCAAGACTGGAAGTTCCTGATCCCCACCCCTACAGTTGTCATAAATCACAATCCCCAATTAACTACTTTGGCAGGCTTTCTAACGGTATCTCCAGCCCGCCAAAATGTAGGCAGCTTGACCTTGGTTCCCATAAGAAAGTATTTGTTATGGCTAAACTAAAAGAACATATCTTCCCCCTTCCATGGCTGTGGCAACCAAAAACGAAGTAAAGATGGCTGCAGACAGAATCATTTGAACGTTTGACACCAGAATCATTGGGTCCAGTGACATCTTCTTCGGTGTGTGTGTGTGTGCATGACTGTCTTCTTTGAAGCCAAACTATCCTCTAGCAAAGAATTAATTAAAAAGACAGTATCAGATTTAATAACCATAGTTCCCCAAATCATGAATTCATGAAGTGTAGAATTTTATATAATCTGACAAGTACATTTAATTGAATTTAACTAAATTAGAATGGGATTTATTTCAAACTGACATCTGTAAGATTTTATTGTCAATTGTATATTATTTAATGCTTTCTTTCAGAATTAACACTTTTTTCCTCTTCCTGTTAGCACTTACAATAAAATATGGGAAGAAGCCCAAGAATCTCTCAACTGCTTGTTGCAAAAGGAGATTGAAGAGAAGTCCCAAAAGCCACTGAAAGACCACCTGTTAATTTTTCAGATGCTTGCTACTTTCTACATCAAATATGTGCAAATATTTCACAACTTAGAATCAGCTTATGACCAGATTGTTCACCCACAAAAACGCTTAATTATTCGTCAAGTGCTGGATGGTGTAATGGGCCGTATCTTGGAATTGAAGAATGAAATGGTAGAATTGGAATACTCAGAATACCATTACTTTGATGACATTTTACAGGATCTTAAATTATCCCCTGTAAGTATACTTCAGAAATGCATATTTTGTTGTCCTACATCCATTCCCAAGATAGTGCAGCTTTTTATTTTGTTTTTTTGACTGTTTTATTTTATTTATTTATTTTAAGTTTGTTTAAAAATCAGAGTTTTCTATCAATGTCCAATTTTACTTGAGAAGATCATATAGAAAAACACCACTCACTGTCCTATGGTTGTTGGTTTTTGCAATTCTTGCATTGCAAAAATTATGATTTTCACTTCAGAAATACAGAGATCAATATTTCTGTTACGATAAATGATAATTTCCAGTAGTTTTGTTTTTAAAAAATTCAGATTATAGTATTACTCTAAATGTATATTTAGAGTATGTACTGTAGTACATATTGTAGAATATATACCCGTATTTATCGGCGTATAACACGCACAGGCGTATAACACGCACCTTCATTTTAAGAGGGAAATTTCAGGAAAAAAACTTAAATTTCAAATAAAGAACTTGAAGCAAAATAAGGGTAGCTCAGAACTTTTTTTTATTAATATTATTAACACTTATAAGGTAAATAATGTAAAAGGACAGTAAAAGCAACTGTTTTA